TATTTTTTTAAAAATTATTATTATCATTATTATTATTATTAATATTATTGTTATAAATATTATTATGATGATAACAGATCATCCAGATGCTGAAGGGGTGCAAGCAGGAGGACATGCCTCCCCATGTGTTCTCCATGGGCCAGATGCTGTACCGGGACATGCTGAGTCAGCGGCGCGACCAGAGCCTGCTGCTGTTGGGCAAGAGCGGCTCTGGGAAGACCACCACCGCGCAGCACGTGCTGCACTACCTCATTACAGCGGCAGCGGGGCATGAGGCCTCCGTGCTCAATGGTTAGTAGATAGAAAGGGGGGGGGAAGAGATATTGTGTTGTCATTCTAATTGTGTTATCTTTATTAGTGTTGTGTCGAGAAAAAAATGTCCTTTCTTTTATCACAAGGTCTCCCGGCTCAGTGGTCAGTGGATAGGGAGAAAATAGCATATTATTATTATTATTGTGTCAAGTTAAAAATATTTCTTTATCTCGAAAACTCAATGCTTTGCGGTCAATAGATGGGGACAAAAATAACTTGTCATCATTATCGTGTTGTGTCAAGTTAAAAATATCATTTCTTTATCATGATGACCATTTCAGAAATAAATTCCAGTTTATTGATCCCTGCAGGGAAATCTAGTTGCTATGGCACATATGCGTACATACATACATATGCACGTACATACGTACCTAGCTACTTACCTACCAATGTACCTACCTAACTACCCTCCTATATACTTATTTAAACACACAAATATGCAGGAGTATTTAAAAAGTACCAACATCTGTGGTGTAGCAGTTGAGCACTTTGTTGTCGCACGCAGGAGACCTTGGTTCGATTCCCAAGTGGGGAGATTTTTTAAATTGAGTATCTCAGTATTTCTGCTGGGATGTTAAATCCCTCTCAGGCTGGGTTGGCCTTGTGATCTAAATTGTGGCAATGCAATCGGGGTGTCAGAACACCTACAACTTATTATTTCAATGTCCTGTCCCCAGTGGAGAAGCTGGCCTCAGTGTACACTCTACTCCACGCCTTCGGCAACAGTCGCACGTCCCTCAACGTCAACGCCAGCCGGTTCACCCAGATTTTTACCCTTGACTTTGACCACTCGGGCCAAATTGGGTCTGCTTCAGTGCAGGTAAGGGTTTTGCTTCTTCTTGGTGGCTGGTTCTGAAATGTGAGTTGATTGCTTCAAGGTTGATTGACTGATTTGTCTGAAATTAATTGTAGATAATGGACTGATTATTGATTGTATATTTAATTTACTAATTATTGATAGTGTAGTTAATGGACTGTTTATTGATAGTGTAGTTAACTGACTAATTCCTGGGAGCGATGGAGTAAATGATAGCATGTTTTCAGCGGACGGATTTTTATTTTTGTTTCTGACTGATTTATGACCTGCTAAGTGATTGTCTGATTTTATGGCTTTCTGATACCTGAATTAAGGATTAAATTGTTCATCAATTGCCGAATTGCGTCTTGTTTTTTTAACTAATTGATTTTACATTTGATTCCTTAACGGAATGATGGACTACGACTGAATGCTGTGTTGAGTGACTGATTGATCGACTGAGTGACTTAATGCTGTTCACTTGCTTGATTCTTTTATGGTGTCACTTTATTTAATAACCTGATTCTATTTGGTAATTGACTGACTGGCTGATTGTTTTACTGGCTGACTGATGGTTTCACTTATTGCTTTCAGTATTTCATCAGCAAGCTGTCAAAATGTACTAAGCCCATAAAATATAAAACTTTTCAAGAGAGCGAATAAAGTTTTATTCTGTTTTACAAATTGTTGCTAGATTATGTATTTTTCTTGCTTTTTTCAACATTTAGAACCCGAATTTTGCCAAAACGTTTCTTGAACACATGCAACCTATACTATAGATTAAGAAACTGCCAAAAAAAAACCAAAAAAACGAAATTTTCAAAATTTTGGGCTTACTAAGATGGCTGACAATTGGCCTTGGACTGACTAACTGACTCAGGTCATGAGCTGCTCTATGACTTTGCAGCCAAGAATATCAAACATTTTTTTCTACAGGCGCTGATGTTTGAGAAGACGCGAGTTGTGCGTAGACCAGAGGGAGAGCCCACGTTCAGCATCTTTTACCAGCTGTTGGCTGGTGTTGACAGTGAATTGAGGTAAACTGCGAGGCAGGGTCACTGATTTATATTATTCCAGTTTATATTTGGTTTACAAGGGTTTAAAATATATCATTCAAATATAACTAAAGAATATAAATACATACTGAAATATGCAGATAATATACTGTAAATACACCATTGCTGGTCTCAACTGTGCAGCCCCCTATTTTTTTAGCTAGGGTTGTCGTACCTTTCTCAAGGACACACCCTAGATACCATGTCATAGACTTATGCTTGATATTTTGCTACCCTTGTGTTACAAAGTTCTATCTGCTCAGTACCTAGTTCTGAAAAATCTGACGTTAAAAATTTTAAGTTTCACAACATGTCAAGCTTTTTTAAATACAATTCTTTGAGTACCTATCTTGATAATGACTTGGAATAATCTGACGGTTTTGATAGAGCAGATAGAATATTTGGTTTCTGACCTCATGGTCTTAGTAACTCAAAATGATCAACAACGTCAGACAGAACTTTGTAATTCTAAGATTGCGATTTGCTGTGAGCCGGAAAAGAGGGAAAGAAAAGAAATAGGACTTGCCAGTGGTGCGTTCCAACCGCCCCGACTCTTTTAAGATAAAAATAACAAAAAGTGATTGTGGGTTGTTTTTTTCCTTTCATTTCAGATCAGAGCTCCAGTTGCAGACCCTGAGTGAGTCCAACCTGTTCATGAGCCCCCCTCAAAAGGTACGAAACTTACTTTCTCATGTTTTGGCCTTGCTGCCTGCACTGATTTGATATGTGTGAGGCATGTTAAAAAGATGAGTTACTTCTCACTATCCGAGAATGGAAACATCAGCGGAAAGTCAATACAGGGATCACATTTGTAGATTTTCACATTTTCAACTGATGCCATTTTCTTCAAGATTAACATGTTTTTTATAATTTCATTGTCATAGGAATAAATTGTATTCCATTCCCCTCTGTTTTTTGCTCTCCCCTAGTCTGAGGACAAACAACGTGCGTCCGAGGCGTGGGCCCGTGTGGTACTAGCCTTCGACAACCTCAATGTGTCGCAGGATGAGGTCAAGGCCATTTTCAGCGTGCTGGCCGCCATTTATCACCTAGGAAACGCTGGAGCCATCAAAGGTGCAGTGATCAGTTTTATTTGACTTTGTGATGTAGTAATGGTAAAAGAGAAGGGGATTGGACGAAAGTTCTGAATTTTATATGACAGTATATGAAAATAAGAAACAATTTCAATGAAGAGATTGATTGAGAGTTTTTATATGAGAGACATAGTCAAACCTGTCCAAGATGACCCCCTATTGTTGAGAAGAAAACTGATCATCTTAGATAAGTGGTCTTCTTTGACAGTGTCGGTGGTCCTCTTAGACAATGTCATTATTAAATGAAAAAAACACAAGGGGGAAAGTGGGAAGTGGCAATAGGGATTACAGTGGCAACCTGAGTGGTTGGCGGGTGCTCTGATGTGGTTTTACTCTCTTGTAAGAGCTGTAATCTTCAGTACTTAAATAACTTATGTGTTGCAAGTGCCACAAAAGTCTTACAAAAACTTTTTACAAATAAACATTTGTGACATTGTTGTCTAGACACTGCCATTTTTTTACATTATTTTGTGGAATATTTAGTGGGGGGGGGAAATTATCATCTCGTTCTTTTTTATTGTTTAACAGAATTAACCTTGTTTTAAAAGTTTTATAGAGTGCAACTGTCTGTCTATCTCTATTTATCTGTTTTTCGTTCTGAAACTTTCTTCCACATGTCTTTTGACGTAATCTTCACTTCTTTCTGTGCAGTCGTTCTTCCTTCCATCACTATGAATGGTTAGCAGGTGCGTAAGTGCTGTAGTGCTGTCTTCCCCATCTGCTTGTTCCCAATATTTTCAATTACCCTCATCTGTCTTGTCTCAGTGTACATACTGTTGTATTAACATTTAGTCCACTGCAACTCAACCATGACTCATCGCGTCTGTGCAGGTCCAACAAACAAACCTCAGTTTGCCAAACCAGCGGCCGCGCAAAGGGCAGCGACTCTTCTGGGGATAAGCGTGGAGGAACTGAGCAAGTCTATCTTCACGTCGGGCGGCTCCTCCACACTTAACAGGAGTACCTCTCTCAGGTGAGTTGGGTGTGTGTGTGTGG